CTAAATGTAAGTCAGCTGCATAAAAAGAGTGTTTAATGCATTTAGATAAGTGACTTTTAATCACTTCAGCAACGGTATCACCTTTGAAAGCCAAACTCACAAACAGCGTCTTCTTTGGCACTGTGATTTGGCCTCGGACGGTTTCTGTCTTAGTGTTTCTGTCAATAGACCTTCTAGGATATTCGTTATTTAGGGGAGTTGTGCGAAGGCTTTCTACTGCTATGTCGATTGTATCTATAGAGCAAATTTTACGAATTCCGGAGCATGGAGAACTCCACCCCTTTAATACATTATTTTAGTTAGCTTCATTCTTATCATGTGTATATTGACAGAGCAATCTGTAGTGCCACTTAATACCTTTACAGTAATAAGTAAGTTCTTGTAGTTTCCAAGTCCTGACTTACCTAAGTCCTTTATCCAAGTTTTATGTCACTCATGCTTTGTAGTAAACTAGTACTACAAACTAGTGTGTTAAGTACGTAAATTAAACAGAAATCGTTGACACATAGCAATGTTTCTCTTAACTTATTACAGCCAGTATTGCCTTACTGAGAACTACTATTGAAGATCCTACTAGGTGTCTAGCTCTACAGATCGGGGCGTATTTAAATTCTGTAAACGTTACGAGAAAATCCTGTACTTACTAGTTGCAAAGAACAATATAGTCCATGGAAGACACTTGCTCTTTAAACATGAATAATATGGAACAATGAAGTTTTACGGAATATTAGTATGAAAGGCAACAAGGTAGATATTGTGGTAGCTGTTCAGAAGGCGTACTATCATTTCAATCCCTAGGAATCCGTGCTCACAGAATAATTGCACTGTGATGTGTGTCAGATATTCTTTTTCGTAGAGTCTAACACATACCTTCAGAAAGTACACTTTATTACGAAGATTCTTAGTAATTCCTGCGTACTGAGAAAGCAGCTTGCACCCGTTGAATTCCATCTACAGTTGATATATGAAGTAACATTACCTGGTTCATTATAAATTATTTAAATTAATCTCAGCGTGTTAAGAAAATCAAAACAAGGTTTTTCTGAACGTTTCGCTGTGTAAGCCACAACTTCTTCATCAGATTTATCTGGTTCATTGAATTAGTACTTTTATCAATGCAGATGTGCTACACATCTATAGTGGTTGTTATCTTCATGCGGTCGACGACATTTAAAACTGTCGGTGGTTGCGGGGTATGAAAGCAAATGAATGGTCTTGATGTTCACTAACAAATTTCAGCGGGAAACAATCAGTTAGGAGACCACTTTGAAACTTGAAAGAAAGAACTGTCCAGTTCGTTCTTTCTTCCTATTTGGGATTTCCTCAACAGTGGGCTATTTTCGAAGCATTTGCTTGCTTTGGTGAATAAACTATTTCAACCGTGCCGGCATTTGCACATTTAAAACACTCGTACTTCATCAGCTAAAACATATGGAAATTGTTACCTAGAACTAAGTGGTTGAAATATTACAGGTGCTAGTGAAATTGTCAATTTAGTGACTGACACTTGCTGAAAAACTTTGGGCGGGGAGTTACAATTATTTGCCGTGATATGCTCGTGCATCACTAAATTATGAGCATTTTGAAATAACAACACAGATGTAAGGTAATAGGTGAAGTCTGTGACATTTTCCCTGACACTATTATCGGCTAATATGCACTGTATTGTGAGTGTTTGGGAATCAGTTCTGCATACTCGACAAAGGGTCATTACAATTGTACTAGTTACCATTGTATCTAATCTAGTGATTAACGGTGTGTTTATATTGGTAATGAATAAAGTCTTTTATTCTAACTGGATTGTTTGATTCCTAATGTTGATTAAGGAGAGTACTGCAATAATAGAGCCTGTTATTTCTGTTTCAATTCAAGGCATTGGAAAAATCCTCGTGAGCATGCACATTCGGGTCACAACTTATTAGCATAGAATATATTTGCACCATATTTAGCTATTCGACAAAACCTTTACGCACGTGATATTTCGCAACATTTAGTCATGTTTTAATGTGACCTTGATGCGTCAGTTAAAATAATTTTCAAAATGAAGGAATTTCAAGCAAGAATTAAGTGATTTGAAATGTTTGCACATAAAACCTGTTGTATTTGAAATAGGTTTTTGATGTCAGCGAATTTCGTAACATGTGATATCAGGTCTGTTTCATTTGAAATTTATATTCTCAAAGCAACATTAAGATGGAGCGGAGTATGATAAATGATTATAAGTCCTTTCATGTTGGTTCTGTGTTGACTAGGTGTGCCAACACAGAGCTGTGAATCCATTTCCACTCTCCCTTTTCTAACCACACAGTGTGTTGTTGTGTAATCTTATGATGGTTACGGTTATCTATGCGCCTTAAGTAACTGATTCTGCAGGATGCTCTGAATTGCTAAATACATTTGAAGATGGTGAAACTAACTGTTTCATTGTTTCGCGAACTTAATTTCTAATTATGAGTTGGCAACACAGTTCCCCTGTACTGGAATATTCATAATATTTCGTAGCTGTTGGACTACGGTCCTACCAGTTATGTGACAACGGATTTAAAGTTTCAAGAGTAACGGTTATCCACGGACTGTGTCCACTGCTTTTACCTTTTTGTTGATTATGAAAAGTTGAAATAATTGGAGAAGGTGCATGTAGAGACCGATACACTCACTTTCTTGGCTTTGTACTTTCGGACAATCTGTGAACTACTTAATAAGAGTGAGTATCCAGAGATTTTTGGGAAAAATATGAACAAAGGTCTCGATAGATATTGGGAATGCACTGGCACTGAACTGATTACATTCAACCTGATGAGCTTCAGGTGTTGTTGGTATTTTCGATTGACGATAAGTCCTAGTGTTTGGCTAGACTACTAAAACAGATTATAAGTAAGTTCTATTTCTTAGACTGAAAACTGTCCTGCAACTAAATCACATTGTGTGAGAAGCTTATGAGTAACTCACAACACCTGATTGTGTCCCAAAGAATCAAATTGGGAATATTTTTCTGCACTTATTTTTCCAATGTTGCAGGGGCGAATTAATTAATAATAATCCCTTATCTGGTTCTCTTATTTACCCGCACTCATCATCAAGTTTTAACTGTGTGTTTGACGTAACTTCCCGTTCTCTTCGGAATTCGAGCTTGTGTGATTTAGTATTAGGCTCAGAAACCGTACTATGATGTTATTCAGTTATCGACTAATTCTCGGTGAAACCAGTCTGCGTAAACTTATTGTTTCAGCACTGTGTGAATATAAAGAAACATAAGTTCCGGCAATCTCGGGGCATCTTGACCACTTTTAGTACTCGTTAACAGATAACGAATTAGAATAATCAGTAATGTTGCAGCATTCGGATTATTGGCAACACAACACACCTAACTGAGCGATTTCAATCCACAAATTTAAGGCTGATCTCTGTCGTTGTTTTGGTGACCGGTCATTGTAAGTATCCCTCCTGTTAATGCATTCTGCACATTGGAGTTTAGCATCAAACCTTGACACAGCATGAGACTTAGAAGTGTTTTTTAGTTGATTTTGTGCACTGTGTAGTCCAAGTAAGGAATGCAATCCTATGCATATGATTTTGACCCAAACAAAGTAGTTTTCATGTATGAGTGTAAGAGCAGTGACTAGGGATATTTGTAACCCTTGTTAACTACAGGGGTAACATTATAGTCGTTGTTGTGTAAATTTCTGTGAAAACATTCTTTTTAACTGTCGCAGTGATGCCAAATAATGAGAGTGAACATATTCATGGAATAAAGTGCAGACGGCACAGTTATCCCCTCAATCTAGGATGTAAATACTAGTCACTCTTTGAATTTTATCAGCCTAATCGAAGAAGGTATACTGAAATTATTAGCTAGCAGATTTCATTCCTTCACACGTGCGTAATTGCTGAGGCATTTGCTAAGTCCGTAAACCAAAAACATGTGAGATCGTAAAGTTAAATCATAATAAATCTATCCTAAGAATGCTGCTGAAAGTTGAAGATCTTAAAAGTGCAAGCAGTTGTCAACTATTCATTGAAGTAAACTGGGTGTATTCATTATATCAACTTGATTTAATAGCCGCTGTACCACACACTACATTGTATCCATTAAATGTGTGTACATGGAATCAAATAGAACTAGTATGGTTTGATTGCTGTGCATTAAAGTCGACTGAGATGCTGTTATCAATAAGGAGAGATACTGAATTCCTATTAACTATTCAGAATGTGAGTATCCATATTTTTCAATTCTTGTTAGTTTATAAGATGGAGTGACTGTTATAAACCATGATATTTCCTTGAGAGCAGTTCCGTCCATTCACGTTGCAAAGAATCTCACATGTTCCTTTATGGATTTTCCCTATTAGAAGGAATTAAACTGAATCCGGAAAGATATGCAAATTCTAGGACGCAGATATTTAAACTCAGTCACAGAGTACAACCAAGCTCCATGTAGTATACATTAACTTGAAAATTAATATTCTCATATCAATGAAACTTTCTTGAAAAGAGAAACTAGTTGTTTTTGAAGAAATAAATTATTAGCTGTGTGAAGTTCTTCTTCAATTAATGATTGTCGACCGATTCGTAGTTCGAAGATATCGTGTTTCTTGGTAGGACATGTTTCCCAAGTGTTTTTGGTGTGTGTGTGTAATTAGATGCTTTCAGCGTAAATGAAGTACACTTTTATAAAAATAGTGAATATGTATAGTTTCTGACTAAGTGCTATTTCTTATTTCTGCAACAATAATGTTATCCACTGGTCTTTTTAAAGTATCTTAATGTAGTGTGTATATTTCGATAAGAAAACGAAACGACTTACTTTTCTATGAATATAAACAGTGTTAGTGAAATGTCATACTCGGATTTAATGTGAACAAGTTGTTAATTAGCTTACCAGCTGTGTGATAGTTTAATGCCTTATTAATCTCTTAAAAAAAGTTTCTTAACAGACACAATTAGAATATATAAGCCGTGGTAGGACTTTTTTAATCATCTGCAAACAGTAACTACGACTAAATGAAGTAAATTTATTAACGAATTGAAATAAAGACAATAATTTTTGACAAATTGATAAATAATAAAGTATAACAAATGAATATTTCTGTATGAGCTGATGTGTTTTTGTACTTCATTCCTTGATGTTTAAAAGTTTAAACAAATCATACATCAACATAAACATTTTGAACACATGCTATGATTGACTGATTTTGTTCACTGGTTAACATTGAACAGAGAAATCTAAATTAAAGTTAACTAAATGCTTGTTTAAGTAAAATAATATAAGTATTTTAATGAAACGTTGAACTGTGCGTATATGTATATATTCATTAATTTCCATATTTTGTGACTATATTATTTCTTCTTCATTTGACATTCACTTTGCTTTGTCTTAAATTTAAAACTATTTTCTCTTTTTTAGAAAACTTTCTTAAACTGAAATAAGTACAAATAAATACAAATACTATAGATAATTTGTTTTATTACAGTAGAATTTGTTAAGAGATGATTAGATAGATAATGTTTTAGTGTATATAAACATATACACATAAAGACATGCATAAATTTCAACTGACATTGCACTTATACAATACAATGCCTATTTGAAGTAAATACAGTGTATTTCCTGAAGATTACTCCTTCATTCTATGCACACTATTTCTGTGTACATTCCATTGAATGTAAATGCATATTCCATTGAAAAGTACAGACTATTACTAATAAAATATCATAACATTGGATGTATTTTATATTACCAACTGATTATCTTCCTTTGTGAGCATAGGAATAATAGATTTTTTCAGGTTTGTAATACATTTTCCAAAATGCCTATAATTCCAAAAAAATTTGCATTATCGGTTGTTTAGTGTGTCTACACCAGTTAATTATTTACACTTTATATATATATATATATATATATATTAGATCCATGAATCCAAGTTGGATGGACTACGCAAGTGTATTTCTTCATCCTGGAACGCTTGAAATTAGTGTAGAATACTAGAATACATGGATATGCATAGCCACTCGAACAATATTGGAAGTTTTTAGAATCTGGATTATAACAAGAAGTGAATAAATTTGCACCTTTTGGGAATGATTTCGAGTCTTGTCATCAGTAGTCTTCCTTCATTGATTCTTAGCTTTCTTAGAACCGCTGCACCTTCATACGTGACTTAAACCTTGGATTGGTGCACTGCAATTGTTTGACCACACCTATCTCTTTCTCAACTTAGTCCTATCTGAAATGGGACTGCTAGTTGAGGAAGGCACTGGCTGGGCATGATGAATACATAGGTACTGATCATTCTGATGAGTATTTTTGTCTGGTGCAAACCGGTCACAAAGCCAGCGTAGATGAATCCTTCTCCATAATATACCGGGTGCCTAACAAACTACCAAAATCGTCGAAGCACCGCATGCTCCAAACAGCAGAGGCTATTGCAATTCGCCTCAAACAACCAGTGCTCTGTGTCCAAAAGAAACAAGTCAAGCCCCTACTACTGCTCTGGCCCTCAGTAGAGACAATAAACTCATGAATTTGTACTATTACCTTTCCTAATTCTCCTGACATTCAGTTTATTTTATGTTGATGCTATTGAGATGTAATTTATCAATATTATTGATTTGATGTTATTTAAACATTAATGTCGTTCATAAGACTAATTCATTCATTCATTATAATGTATATATAATTGTAGAGCTTGATGATGAATTTATCGGAAAGAGTACTCTTTGTTCCGTGTCTATTCTTTTTTGTCTCTGTTTAATATTACCACGATATATATAGTACTGTGATATACCATTTCAGAAGTGTTTCTCCTTTTATTCACCCATCGATTTCTGTTGCATAGTTTTTCTCATATTTCTCACACACATATTTACACAGTGATCAATGCAACTAGACGAATATTTTAAGACTTCATTTCATTATTTTAATTCACATTTTCCTTCATTAATGAAAACTTAAGCAACTATTGGGACATTTTGTGAAAAAATGTCCTAGATGTGATTTCTGTTGGTCTATTTTACACATTACTAAATTAGTGTGGGTTAGCCTGTTATTCATTCCAAGTGAGATAACTCCTTTTTTCATTTTATTTTAATATTGAATATCTACGAAATTCTTCTAATCGAACAAAATAGCAGTAGGAGTATTCACAAACTTAGCATTTTACATCACTACTTAAAAGATTTATTGTTAGTAGACACAATTAATCAGAAGTATTCACGCCAAGATTGTTGATTTTCACTGGGTGCCGAAACCTCAGTAACTGTAAGGGAATTTCAGTTGCTGACACAACACTGATGAAAAGTTCTATCCATCCTAACAATAATCCTTATCTGTGTTCCATGCATACTAACTCGCCTGATCAGTTATTCTGTGGTCTGGCTTGGAACAAACATTTCCACTATGTAAACATAAGTATATATATATATATATATATATATATATCCAAATAATAATACGAGGAAAAGTGATAATTAAACTGCTTACTCTTTCAGCAACTGAATAACTTTTATTTGACTTAGCTAAATTAAGTTTTGCTTGATATGATTCTTTCTCTTTTTGTAATTTCCTGAATGCTTCAGCAGTTCTTGAAGTTGGATTATTTATATAATTGCCTGGATAATGACATGGTAAATCCCATGTGCCAACATAATGACCCCATGGACAATCACCAGGTTTCGTATCTTGACCTTTTAATAGGTGTCCACGATCATTTGCTATAAAGTGTGTTGTACGTGTTTTTGCACGAGGACGCTGCAAGTTAATAAATTTCATTACAAGAAAAAATTGGTTAAGACTACTAATAAATAAAGCGCAAAGTATAAAATAAAATGTTACTGCAAAGATCATTTTAAAGTGTAAAGTATATATCAATTTAACTTATTGTAACATCATATGAAGTTTTCATACTTCTGACTTATTTTCATATATGAATTTAATTCTATACATCGCCAGCTCTCAAGGACCTCTGAGATGAGTTATCTAGGACAAAACAATAAAGGGATGTACTGCAAACAAGTTTAAGGACAGTCCGATGTTAAGACCACCTTACTCTGGTTAGCAAACACTACAGATTGTTGCCAGTGTCCTCTATGCGTCAGTGGCACAGCGGTAAGGTCTCTCGCCGACCATGCACATGGTCCGGGGTTCAATCTCCTGCCGACGTACATCTGGTATCAATGGTCAGCGTGCGAAATTTGGGCTGCCGATATCGCATGCTAAAAATCCCATACCTCTACCAAAAAGTATTGTGTGGAATCAAGCTATGATCAAAAATTTGAAAAAAATAATTAATAAATCAGTATTATATTTCACTTGGTGCTTGCTCTCTTGGTACTATTCAAGAGATCACACAGAACACATTATGAACTGAGTATTTTAGGTTTTCGGGGGGATCTATAGTAAATGTACACCACAAGTGATATAATTGAAAGTGATAGGTTGCCAGATTTATGTGCTTTCCGTACTGCTCGATTTCTATACAAATCTACAAACATTTATTCATGGAAAACTACATATTAAGTTATCGACAGTTCTGTACAATTTTCATAGAAGTGGAGATGTTGTTCACGAGATGAGGTCTCTAGTCCAATGCCCAATCATCCCTCTTTTCCAGACTTAGAACTGTCTATTAAATTTATGCTAAGAGTCTAGCTGCGTGACAGTTGTAAGTACTTGTTTTGTACTATTTTGATATTACAATCATTTTAGTTAGATTATTATAAAATATTTTAAATAATGATATTGGTTTCGTAAATCGTGACAAATGGATAATAGAGGTGACAAGTTCAGAGTGGGTTTAGTGTCGAGCAGATCTATCTTTCTTAGGGATTTAAGCTAAAGGATTATTACACAAATTGGCTAGTGTTTAGTAACACTTATTTTGGGTTAGTTTATTACATCCAATAGTTTTTCTATATTAATATAATTAAAATTTGCAACCTGTATATTTTTAAAGCTCATTACGTATCTATAGCGACATGAGTCAACTGAGGAAATAATAGAAATGAAAGGAAATTCATCCTCACCAATAGCATCAATATACTTTAGCAAACATGTTCACTTATACCTGTGTTCATAGTGCTACATTGTGTATTTTATACTAAAAGTTCCTGCAACATAACCTGGAATTAAATCATTAGATTTGGGTAAATTAACTTTTAGAATGATAAGTCTGTGGAAAGTCGATGACTCCGTTTATTCGTCACATACTTTTGTACACTTGAGTGTAAAGTGTAGAGAGATGTGTACATAATCGCAACGGAGATCATTCAGTTTTAAAGATGCAGAGAGAATCTTCGGATATTACTTATTAGATATGTATAAAGCGGTGTTAACATTAACTATATTTCGCATAGATTTTTAACCCCTAAGACTGTAATATGGAGACATGTGAAGTGGGAAATTATCAGTATTTTGGCAATATTTGTCTTTAAAGGTTCATATTCCTACAAGTTTTTGAAATGAGTTAAATTAAAAACTGAACTAATAGTTTGGCATCTTTATCCCGAATTCCTACTGAATAAGACACTGCTAATGACTATCAACAAGGTGCTGAATGTGCTTTAAACGCTTGCTATTAAAAATATCTGTCCTGGAAATGACTGATGGCAATAATTATAGTAGAAGGGTTAATGGCAATAATAATAATAATAACGACAATAATGATAATATCAGTTCTATTTATGATTAGGAACAGGGAATGTTATACAGGTGTAATATAATTTCACCAAACTGAAGTAACGGTCATATCCTAGTTTATAAGACATTGTAAAACTTGTTGCCTAAGTAAATGACACTTTCACATTCTTTTGTATTTCATTCTTTGCTGTTGCAGTGGATGGCCGCTACTCATCGCTACCAACCTCTAGGCTGTTTTTTTCTTCACAAAGGAATTGCAATTACCAACTGTCATATAAATCAGAAATATATTAATTATACTGATAATTTACATCTGAAGGGTTTAAGTTTTCATACTAATATGACTGAAAGGAAAAATCTGTTTAACATCTTGTCTTGGTTTATTTTCTGCCACATATATTTTCATAGTTACAGTAGATCTACTAAAAACTTCGTCCTTTTACTCAAGAGTTATGAAGAAACATGAAAAATGAGCAAGTTTAGAGAAATAAAACGCATACTTTTCAGCAGTTAGCACTGCATGATGTGTTTTTCGACAATTGTTTAGATTATTGAAAGTTAATATGAGTGATTACTTGTGGGTAGAATATTATTCACGGGGTTACTGAAGGTAGTATTTTGTAATAATAATGATACTGAAAATATGAGTACTGTCATTTCTCATACTTCCAGTTAGTTTTCATGAAAGAAAGTAGACTCTATATTTTTATTTACTACATGAAAGTTTCACTGACTGATAGGTTCAATTTGATCAGAAACAACATACTACACTTTTGTATACATGAGACTTATTCAAACTGCTGCGTCATATTTATCTTCAAGGATAAGGTTTGATTGCATGGAAGGTTTCATCATGAGCTGACATCCGTTAGAGAACCACTGGAAAACGTGGGAGTACTGGACAGCTGTTTCTGTGGTCCTAGTTTGGGACTCGTCAGCAGTACGCACCCACTACAGAAGTTCGAACCCAGCACCTTCTGGTTACAAGGCAAGTTCGTAGACCATTGAGCCACTGGGACCCGATCCAATGGTTCTTGAATTCTAACTTCTGCCAATTCACGACATAGTGCGATCATTTCGCAATGTCTTCTTCGATGAGTTACTGCCTCATCTTCAACCTGCTGTGCCCTACTGGTCACGGCTTCCCACTAGAACCTCAGGTTAACTGCCTGAATAGGGCCAGTCACTAGTGAGCATCAGATTAATTTTAATAAGGTTTTGTTTCATTTATTCCAATAATTTCTTCATAAATATCTGATAAGTGCCGATAAATAAAGACTAATAGTGTTTACAGAATATTCTGCTATAGTTTAAGGTGTACCAAAAAACTTTCATGTATTTCTAAATTCAATATATTCACCAATGAATTACTTGATATGTCGACCACCGAAGAGTGGCGAACATCTCTTGATTTCAGCACCCGTATATTTACAACACTCTGAAATCTCCCGTGTTTATAATGGCTTTTGTTATGGAGTTCAGAGCTCCTAAGATTTTCTACTTTTTTTTAAAAACACAAACCACACTGTGAACTATCTTGACTCATCACTACTCCTTACTTTTGTGAATTTATCCACTAAGGATGAAGTGGAATCAGAAAAATGTCAGTGTATTGTTAAGAAACACTCTATTTTACTAGTGGTGTACACTATAAAGCTAAGAATAGCAGTGTTGAGAACAATTATTGTAATAAAACTGAGACTTTATCCTACTACAGTAGCTTTGACCGATTGCGTATTCATCTAAAACAAATGAGGCGGTAGCTATAATCACTTATACTGTAAATAAATTTTGATTGTTAATCTAATTATTCATTTAAATCTCTTTATTCCACTAAAACTTTCATAAAAGCTAACATATAAAGTCTCAAATTGCATGCAGTGTCACTTTTCATCACAGGCAGTTGTCAAAGCTCACTTGTCATTTACCACGGTTAAGCCACATTTGTATGCGTTAGTGGCACAGCGGTAGAGTGCTCGCTGACCATGCAGGTGGTCCGGGGTTCGATCCGCCGCCAACACACTCCTTTACCTCGCTAAGCCAGTAGTAAGACTGGTAAAGAGGGAAGGCAGGGCATGAGGCCAGCAACCCCATCCTGTAGAAATAATCACCACTGCTACAGAAACTTCAGACCTTCAGCTTGAAACTCTATGTTCCACTGGGAACGTAAAGGAATAAAAAGAATTATTTTTAGGAAAGTGATAGAAGTTATTTAGTTTGTTCTGCTCACTGTTAGTAACCCATAAAGCCTAAACAGTAATTTTTAGATTACTTCATAATAAACACAGTAAGTCTTTTCAGCGCAGATATTTTTTTATACCGTATTCGTGAATTTTATTCCCCTTATTTTTACCACTGTTGATAGGCATTAGTTTAATTAAATAAATCAGCTGCCAAATGATACCATCCAAATGATTATTTGTAACTAGCGATAGATATAATTTCATCCAAAGCCTAGTTGTGGGTAAGTTGGGAAATAATCATTCGACTTTAAAATGCACTTACACGCCGACTAAATAAACTCACTGATCACGAGATCTCATTGTTATCTGCTTCATCTGGCAATCTTATACTGTACTTGAAAGTCAGTTCAATATTAGTTAAATATCGCCTCCTAGTTTTTGGACCTTCTAGAAATAGAAAAATCAGTCCTTATTTGGTTACGTGTCTGTCTTGACGGCGGTGATTATGAGTAAAATTAGCTTAAAAAGTCAGTAGTACTCCCTTTGAGCAGACGACGGAAACAAATGGCGGTTCAGTTATTTTCATTCATAATCCTGGCTACTGTTGATATGAAAAATCAATGAAACTTTACGAAATCCTAAGGTTCCTCAGAGAACCTACAAAATACAAGTAGTTCATTAATTAGTATGCTTATCCGGTAACCATATGCTGATATATATCTGCAAAAATGTCGAGGCCACACTAAACTTGAGCGAAATAACTTAATAAGCTGTCATCGGACTATTTTTGACTCCCACTTCAAACACAGGTGGCAAAGAAGCGTAAGGAGGAATCTAAACTCCGAGTGATGTATATACAGAATCAATTTCTTCTCCTTCTTTACATACAATATCTCTGTGACTGTGGTAGAACTGTATTCCATGCAAGAAAAATGTGGAAAATATTCAAGTGTTCTTAAAAGTATAACCATAGTCTTCAGGAATGTTAGCTACACTGTGAACACATTATCTCACATTCCGTTACTGAGAGTGGAATATTCAAGATTTTCATCTGTTCAAATGTAATGGATAACGCAGAGGGACACAGCATGTGTGTGCATTCACAACTTTCAGACTCAAATCTAACTGTTTTGGTTTCATGAGAATTTATGAGGTTGCGTTTTATATCACCGAAACACTCGATGCCATTACATTTCGTACTTTCATAGTTGAATATGAAAAAGACTAGTATCATTAAAACTTATTTCACCTAAATTTCCATGAAATCTTTTCCGGTGACGTTTTGCCATATTAAGAGAAGTGCTAGCCACTTACTACTTCATCTTATTTTGTGGCTTGGCAAGCAGATTTTGCAAGAATCAGTAAATAACAAAAAAGCTCCCCTAAGCTTATGTTGAATCCTCAGTTACTCAGTGAGTCATGACCAGATCTCATTGGTGGCTTGTTTTCAAATACATCGGTGTAAATTTTTACGTGCTTAGCATTTAGAAATGTCTAATTCAACATGTTAACTGTCTAAAATGTGGTCATGAAGCTCTAGTTTAATATTTTGAGGTAATAAAACTTAAAGCATTGGACCTACGAAGATAATGGAGTATGAGCGTTTCCATTAACCTTTGAGCATGGTGTGCGAGAAACTTCATTTTGAAGACAGAGACTAAAGATGTAAACACAAGTTATCTGAATCCGAGCGAACGACGTACCAAGTAACCTCGTACAACTAGTTAGATCCTTTCTCTTTCGACATTCATTCTGTTCACTGTATTCACGCGGCAGTCTGCAATTCTATCTTGATTTCTTTCGTCTGGAATTTAGTTTAGGGCCTGCTTTGACTACTGAGCTAGGATCAGGGCTTAGTTAGGTTTAAATTTCGCACTAGACTTGTGGTGGTAAATTTACTTTTATTCATTTATTCGTCTTTACCTATATGGCTTTAGTTACTCATATTTTATTATCGTGCATGTATCCTGATTGGTTGTACAGGATCACTTCGTAATCTGCTCATTTACATTGTAATACACTGTTTACTGAAAAATCCCTTTTATTATACAAACACATAAACTGGCTGATATAACAGGTTTGCTTCTTTGTGACAAAATGATTTTGACAATATTTGAGGTCTTCTTGTTAGCTCTATGACAAATAAACTGATGCGATGATAAGCAAGGCTGGGGTCTTCAGTCAAGGAAGTTTATATTCACATAATGTGACCGGAGGTAAATTTCCAGATCATTCAGGACGAAACACAGGCAGTAACGCTTAAGGTGGAACCATTTTGTTTACATAAATTGAATTCTTTGGAATCGGTATTAGGTATAAAGAAGAAACTATCAGCTTACTTGCATAGCTTAAACTGTAGAATTTAAATAAAGATATTCACGATTAAATTTCAGACTCAAAAAGAGACTTACACACTCATATATAACATCATCAAGATCAGACTAAAGGTTGATTCGTTTTGACGTACGAAGTACATTCATGTTATATATAATTGATCTATACGCCCCTGGTCATATATGAATAGGGGTACTAACTATTCTCCGTATAGACCTAAACGTATACCACTTTAAAGTCGTTAACGTATGTTATTTCAGTACACAGTGGGTAGATAAAATATTCATTTACCATAAAAAGGCATGATCGAGATCTCTGTAAGTATATGATTGACAAGAGTCATATAGAGTACCAGAGGCAGCTAGTACTGGATTGTGTTCATTACCCGCAAAGGTTGTACTCGTATATTAAACGTAGGACTGAAACTAGCAGTGGTATATCGTCATTCACAAGCATTAGCGGAGAAGCGACTGAGTAAGATGAGCGAAAGGCTGAAAACCTCTCTGAATACTTCTATGACGTCTTCTCGTCTGATCGTACCACCCAGGAATATGGCGAGGTCACTGTCATCGCCACTCAGATGTCCTCAAATGTGGTAGAGCACACAAAGGTCCTCAAACTACTGTCCAAACTGAAACCAAGTAAATCACCTGGGCCCGATGGACTTCGCACTAAACTGTAAATTTCTTGGGCGGATATAATAAAAATTCCACTTACGGAGATTTTCCGAATGTCTCTGACCCAGGCTAAGCTACCCAGAGACTGAAAGGATGCAATTATAAGCCTTATCTTCAAAGAGGGGAACATGCAATTGGCATCTAACTACCAGCCTGTAAGTCTGCCACGCATTATATCAAAGGTATTGGAAACAACTATAAGGGATCAGCTATTAGCTCATGTGGAAAAACATGGCTTGCTGGTGGTGGAAAAGCATGGATTCCTACCAGGACGATCCTGCCAGACAGACCTACTATTAGCTAAGGAAGACTGGGTTGAGGCCAGAAATAAAAACCTTCTTTTGGATATGGTTTTTATCAATCTTAGTAAGGCATTATATAAAGTATTTCCATTAGATCTCCTAAGTAAACTTAAAAGTTTTGGACTAGACCAATGCCTATGTGGGCTGTTTAGGGATTACTTAATGGACAGAAGGTAAGGGTTAATGGTGTACTGTCAGGATAGAAAGCAGTATCCAGTGAAGTTCCTCAGGGAACTGTATTAGGCCCCTTGCTATTCCTATTATATGTTAATAAACTAACGGGGATTCTTACTTTATCTTCATTTTTATTTGCGGACGATATTACGATCTGGAAAACTGTAAATAACAACGATGATGGGTTGGCCCTACAAATTAGGTAAATCATGTGAGTGGTCGAACCTGGGGAGTTTGAAAATTAACTCTAGAAAAAGCGCGGTGATGCACCTAGGTCAGAAGTCTTATACGTCCTACTCCCTAGGGGACACAGAACTACCTGATATTAATGGGCCTAGAAATTAACCTAGGAATCATTATCATCAATGATTTGAAAAAGGTGCAAACTGCAATGCAGCCGCAGCTAAGGCTTTTCGAATGCTGTGGTCACTTCTAAGAGCTTTCAAACGATTAGATGAGTGCATGTTCAAAGTACTCTACGCGACATATTTAAGGCCTCATCTAGAATACTGCATAAAAGCGGCTAGTCCATGCTTCAAGAAAGAAGGACATATCTTAGAAAGAGTACAAAAGGTAGAAACCAAACTAGTTAGTGGTATCTCACACCTTCCTTATGACAAGAGGATGGAGCACTTAAATCTCTTCCCATTATAATAACGGAGGAAGAGGAGCGAATTAATTTTAGGCCACAAGAGCCTACTATCCTTATCATCTGAATCTGAGTAGGTTTAGAATTTTTTTCTAGCTGGGCAGATAAACTATCCAAAGTGTTCTTGGATATTTACTGATAATACTACATGCAGCATGCATTGAAATTTTTGTTGTAGAGATTTATCGATTACACAGCGAAAAAAATGGCAAATAGCATGAAAATACCTCTCTGAATTTCTTCGCCGGTCCATACAGTTGAAGATGTTCCGGATAAAAAGGTTCCTCATACTAAGGTGCGAAATATTTACACCAAACCTAGATTACCTGATTAGCACTGAAAGACTGAGACATTTAACTTGGTGGATTGATAAATATCAGCAACTTGGGACACTACCCACTCTATGTTAAAATCTCGCCATTTGTTAACATGACAACTGTGCATTCAATGAACAATATCTACCCACCATTTATATATTGTTGTGATTATTAAGATTTAAACTTATAATAATCGTCCGGATCAGTTACACAGTGGAGGTCTAAGGTTGTTTTAAATGGATAAGCATAAGACGATGATACGAATTTATACAGTAGGCAATTTCACTCGTTCTCATAACCAATAACATTTTACTAGTGTAAGACAAGTTTATTTCATTGTGCTGGTCTCTTGATTGCAACGTAAAGGTTCCTGAGACTTAGAAGGTTTCGGAGTGCTATGCTCTACCTCTCTACTGCCTTGGCTTTGATCGAGTTCAGGGGGAGTGTTGCGAGTATTGGTTGTATATGGTTTGCAGCTAGCAGTATGTTAAGACTCTGTGTGATACCAAGTGTAAATGTAAAAAATCCAGACACAGACAAATAAACTCTGAAGTGGTGTCCATATCGCAGACAAGTATGCCGAGTGGTTTAATTATAACACGCATGAGATTGACGAGGCAGTAGTCCATTAAGTTATTAAGTAATGGCTGAAAACCTCATCCTTCTGCTATTTCGACTTGGATTCTCTGGAAGATGTCTGAAACAATACTGATAACTTTTTGGCTATACCATCAACCAGTGCTGATAATATTCGTGGATGCTGTTCATCAGGGCCCCTTGAATCACCATAACTGAACCACAAAAGCCATTTCAGGATCACCTCATAGGAGATCTACTATTGGTACAGAACATCTCGAACACAATACTTGTCTGAATTACCTCGGTGGAGTTTCAGTAATCATCGAGTTATCAATCCCACCCATCGGTTTTGTATCAGGTACAAGGGAAGATGTCGCATCATTTTTTCCAGTTCTTCTCGCATTTATGTGAAAAGTCTCTCGAAACAGCACTATGAATTCCTGACTTTGGCACATTCCTTCTTGAATTGTTTAATCAAGGTGTTGCGGTCGTTTCTGGTTATGTAGAATTTCTGGAGCATCTGTAGCAGCCCTATAAAACCGAGTAGATTCATTGACATTATACACACTCCGAGGAGTGTTGCAGCCCCTTTATTAATCCACAGTGAACCGTCTTCTGTCTCGTTAGATGCCCTTCATTGGAAAGATTCAGGTGTTATCACCATAGGCTTGTTTCTAGATTCATTTCACGCATACCTTGTTCGCCAGCCAGCATTGACTGGCCATTCTGTGAATGCATTATATGGTACTCACATGTCAAAATTTGAGACGAGCTTAGAGTAGAACCTTTGATCGAATCTAATCAAGTATCATCCAGACCCCTTATCGTGCCACGAAACTCTGTTTCATTATATGCTACATATTTTAGTCACTGATCCGAAACAGTAACGTAAAATCCTGACTTATCCGTGTTACGAACGAGTCTACAGCCTGGTTAATGGTATAGTTTTAGTGAAATAATTTTCGTCTTTGCGACCCTCTCTTCTTCCTCCTTTACATATGGATCAGTTGAAGCTAATCCTTTGTTATATTCTATAGGCCACGTGCCGCTGTACATATTCTTGAGAATGTCGCCATGAATCTTAGTAGGGTGGCCTTCCATAACTTAATATGTGGGCTGTTAGTGTCACAGATTTCTTCGTGTTTCGCGAGATAGCGGAGGGATATATCGGTATGCTCGTGGTTCGCTTGATTGATAAACATAAAATACGGATTTATACACCTAAATTTCCACTAAAATTCCATTAACAGTATGGACAACTTTTGTTGGAGTTTGAGATTGTCATGTACTCCGTTTTACACAGTTGTCAAGCAAGAAGGTCCGATCATATTCCAGCAGTCTGTCCAAAGCAAGTAACGGCATCACCTATGATTATTTCTTCGAGCATACTATTAAGGAGAAGGCTGATAATAAATAAAGCAAACTGAATAATTTTCATGTAGTGCCTCTACTTCTGTAAAACACAGTCAAGTCAACAAGGTGTGGAATAAATTATGAAGCCGCATGCCTTTTTATCAAAGTCTACTAATTCAGAACCTTCAAAAGATACTCAGTTGCTTGCTGAGCTGGTTTCGGGCATGATATTTTAGGCCACTTATGACTTATCTATCCCGTGTTTTCAACGAACAGATACAGAGACGGGAAACAATCATTTTACACATATGATGTAGCATCCCTGAGAGCTTTCCAAGATAAAAATTACTTTTGAGAAACTCGTATATGTCAAAACGTAAACTGGCAAATAGCCAATCAGTTTATTTATTAACCGATTTCCCCTCAGTTTTCAACCGTTTTCAGATGACATATAATTCAGATAACCCCTACCACGGATGTTAATTCGTTTCGCGCAATAAAGTATCAACGTCTATGCGCGAATTTCCGTTTAGAGTAGGGATTGATCACCATACTAATGTTGTTAATACTAAAGGAGGATTGGTCATCAAAACTATTGTTGTTAGACGACATATTTTTCTGGGGTAAATGACACTCACCGATTAGTTACATATTTTGATGCAACTTAAAAAAGAAATTCGAATATCAATTTGTTTATCCGTTTGCCCTAAGTTTGTCGAAGAATTGTGCCTAGTATCGTAGTAAGAGTTCGTAGCCGATCGGAGAAGAGGAAAACTAGATACACATAAAACCAAAGGACACTTCATTCTATCGCACATAAGTCGTTGGATCCTAAGTTTGAAGGTTGGCTATTGAATAGTGAATATTCCCAGTCACAAATCTTTCACCTGGTTCCACAGTGCGCACACCCACTATAGTTAAAGAAATTCAGGCAAAAATAATGGGGTTTTAATCCAAAATATTCACGATTACAGGTTCAGCAGCTGGTAATGTAGTGAAGGTGGTTGTGTCTGTCTTTTTTGCACACAGAGATCTTGTTAGAGTGAATCGCAATAGTCCCCGCTATTTGCGGAGGCATTTGTCAGTTTATTTAGTCACGAAAGTTGATAGAATTTTCTGGTTCCATGCATTTACCAGTATGCAAACCGCGGAGCTCAACCCACTGCTAAAATTGCAATTCACGAAGTAGTTTTCTTAGGAGATAATTAAACTACTTTGTAAAAGTCACTTTCCACTTCGTCCAGTCCCCTTTAACAGTCTATCATATACTGAATCCATGAATTATGACCCTTAGATTATTAAATGTATATATAATTAAAGCATTTTGTCAAGCATTCCGTTTAAGCTGAAATAAAATTAAAAAAGGTCACATATACAGGATTTCCGGAGATCAAAGAATTAACACAACACAAGCAGCAGTCGATAAGGATTCGAACGAATAATAATACCTTATGAATAATGGTGCTCCAATGTTCAAAACAAAAATGCCAGTACTCACATGCGTTAGCGGTGGAGAACAGAGATTCAGAAAAACATCTCCACTTTCTCTCACAATCTTCTGTCCCCTTCAGCCGCGTCCACGACTCCCCATAATCTCTCATCTCCTCCTTACACAACCTCATCCATGTCACCCTCATACCAACGACCAATTCGTCGCATCCCATTTGGATCCCACTCGACCAATGGACTGCATTGCGCGCGAAGTCATTCGACAGTCTCCTCAATGTATGGCCGATCCATCTCCATTTTCTCCTACATATTTGTTGAGCGATCGGCTGGTTGGTTCGTTCCCACAGTTTCTTGTTACTTATTCCTTCTTGCCGCTAAATCTTCAGTATGAGCCCAGCCAAGGCAACTGTTGATGAAAGCCTGCAACCTGTTGGAAGTCCCTTTCGGGACACGCACTGCAATTTTCTGACCCGTGCAGAAGAACCGACCTGACATTGGTGTTGAAAACCCGAATCTTGTTCCTTATGCTGAGTGCGAAAGATATCCAAACTGGTTTCAGGTTGATGAAGGTGTATCTTGCCTTTCCGATTCTGACTTTGACATCTTCATGCATTCCGGCTACCCGTAGTTGAAACGATGCCTCCTACATAAGTGAATGAAGTTACCTATTTCAAATTTCTCCTGTTGATGACAATTGGTACTGGTTGTTTTTGGTGATGGTGACAGCGGTTGGTTATCTTCATCACCTCCGTCTTCTCTATTTTCGCCTGCAATCCTGTCTTCGCTGCCAGCTTCTCCAGCCAGTTTGTTGGTTTTCGCCTGCAAGCCTTCGATTTTGTGTGACATTAGACGCATGTCATCTGCAAAATCCAGATCTTCTAGAGTCTTCTTATTCGTCCAACGTACTCCCGTCTCCTCGCTCCCAACTCATAGTCTGGCTCATAATCCATTCCACCACAATCAAGAACATCATCGGTGGTAACAGACAGCCTTGTCCTACTCCTCTACTCAAATCGGACGCCTTGCTGAATTTTCCGATGTGGATCACCTGACAGTTGGCAATATTATATAGCCAGCAGTTGAATGAGGTTGATAAAGACTTGGGCACTGTACGCCGTAGTGCTGAAGCAGTTTCCAAATTACTTCTCGACCAACGCTGTCTGTGAAAGGCCTTTTCGAAGTCGATGAAGTTATGGTACAAGTTTGACTGCCATTCTATGCGTTGTCCGATGATGATGCCTAGAGTTGCATTTTGATCAGCACATGATTTGCCTTTCCTGAGTCCAGCTTGTTCAGGCTGACGGGATTCAGCAATCAGTGCATCTTTTATTCTCTCCAGGATGGCGCGACTTAGTATTTTCACTTGGCGTGGACAACAGCATTATTCCACGCCTAACTAGGTCACCCTTCTTTGACAGCTTGAAAAGGTTGTCTTTCTTTCAATCTGTGGGTACCTTTCCTTGCTTCCAAACCTTTGCAGTAATGGCGTGGACACATCTAAGGAAGTCTTTAAATCCGTTTTCGGTGCTTCTGGGGGAATTCTGTCTGGCCCTGTTGCCTTCCCAACTGGACTTCAGTAGCTTGATCACACTCAACATTTCTGCCTTCGTTGGAGGATTGGTATCCACTGGCAGGTAGTTATGTGCGTGCTGTTGGTGGTGGTGGTATTTCTGTGCAAGCTGCAGGTGATGGCCGATTCAAGAGCCCTTAAAAGTGATCAGACAATTATTTTATTTGTTCCTACTCCTTTGTAATCAGGTGC